TGACATGCATAAAGCAAGGTGATTTGGGCTTTTTTAAGACTATACAAGTGTCCCAGATTACAAAGTGACCTGTCCCAGATGATCAAATTCATATACCTTGAAAAATGCTTAAAAACATAAAATAGGTTAATTAACAAAAGTTGAAAAGTAAGAAAAGAACAAGAGAATTAAACATACATTTATATTCTGTGGCATATTTGAACGATGGCTGTTAGCAACACTAACTTGTTTTAACATGTAAAGCCGTAACTGACTGACCTTTCCAATGCATTTACAATTAATTAACCACTAATTGAGAGAACGGGATCGAAGAGCTTTCAATTAGAGGTAAAAAACAAAGATTCAGGTCATTGGTAGAACAGTCTAACAAACGAGAAAGAGAAAAGAAAGAGAAAGAGAGTCATTGTGGAGAACTGCACATGAGACTGAGCAGTTGTTGTTACTCTGGGGAATGAAACTTTATCTTGCAGAGAATCTGGCAAAGAAAAAAAAAGTAAAGTAAAAGTATTGTAGCGTCCAAAATCCAAAAGGCATGTAAAACCGAGGGAAGCTGTGCATTGGGGACTGTGTGATGTATTTAGCTCATATGAAAAGCATGCATACAGTCATAGCATTAGTTATAGGGCATATTTATATTCATATAGAATGCTGGTGCGCGTGTAACAAATAACATTAAGGATGGGGTTTAACTGTAAGAGTAAGCCAGTGTCAGTGAGCCAGCGTGCAGCAACACCAGAAACTGGAGCACCATGGCTGATGTGTTTGACAAGTGAAAATGTCATGAGAAAGTCCTGCTCTTTTCTGTAATGTTACGGTGTTTACAATAAGCGCACTGCCTCCGATGATCTAACGCAACATGACAACATACATCGAGTCCAGATACTCTGGAGCAGCTGTCTAAACGTGTCAACGACAAACCGACATGAGTCTGACAGAAAGTGAAAAAGAGAGTAGGAGTGAGTGCTGAGTAGGAGCTGATGGCGGCTGCCAGGAAAATTGCAGAGAGATTTCCAGATTCCACATCCACAAACAACATACTTGCTTCAGATACGTTATTACACTCAAGGCCACTGCCTCTGCTGCCCTCTCGTCCTCCTGCATGTGTCTGGCCTCTTTTTATGGCCAGGCCTCGTCCTCGTGTCCGCCGGCCACACCCTGTGCTGCTGCCAGCATCAGAGTTTACCACAGGAGCCTCAACGAGTAGAGTGTCACTGGTGGCACGTGGGGGTTGACCTTAAGGCGGCTGCGCCACTGTCACAGCTGTGAAAGGAGATGAGGGCATAGAATATGATACAGACCTGCAGTCACTGGAGGCGCTGTCCTTATAGTAGTCACACTATGCTAATAATAGATATTCATATGATACTCACTGTCAAAAACTGGTCTAATGGCTACATCCCATTTAGGTGTTGCTGTTTCAGTTCATGGTTTTGTGTGCATTTGTAATGGGACACATGGTGTGGGACAGTTGTAAGTCAAAATAAACATCTTTACTACCTCAATGGCTTTCCCCACTGTACAGTTAGAAAGGTCTATTAGTATTAGTTGCAGTCAGTTATTTTCAGTTTAAGTTTTTTTGAATCTATATTTCTACATTTCTTTTTGTTGCTCTTTCTAAAGTACACTTCTTGTTTTGAAAAGTGCTGCATGAGTAAAGTGTTCTTCCTGGAAAGAGCAGGAGGGTTGAACATAATATATGATGTAATAAAAAAGTGTTTTGTTGTGAGCTTGAAATAATAACATTATAGAATAGCAGAATGAGATTGCTGATGTGTGAGTGTCAATGCTGTTAGTCCAAGCTGCTTCCAGAGAAAACCTTTTGAAAACATATGCTGCACTAGGGATAATACATTTATTAGAAACAGAATCAGAGTCCTGCTTTAAGAGTGCAATATATGTGTTAGGACAATGCAAAGTCGTCTCAAAGTAAAAAGGTTTGCAGTTGTAATCCAGCTGTGACTGGGGTCTTTTTTTGTGGAGTTTGCATAATCTCCTCAGGCTCCTCAGGCTTTCTCCAGGTACTCCAGCTTCCTCCTAGTCCAATGACATGCAGATTGGGGATAAGGTTGATAAGAGATTTGAGAATGTGAGTGTGGATGTTGGCCCTGTGATGAACTGTAGAGGCCGCATCTCACCCAATGTCAGCTTGGCTCCAACAGTACAGATAATGGATTCACAGAAACAGCAGTACAATTAATGATAACAGTATGAGAAGTAGTATCACAAAGAATAGTTGTTCTGGTTTATTGATCAGTTTCAGTTTCTACAGTTGTCTAATTATATTTATGGTCTATGTGCTGTTTCCACTCTGCTAGGAACTAACTGTGAGCAGATGTACTATTTTGTATTTGCTGGCTTTGCACTGGTAAAACTAAAAAGAAGTAAAACCTTGCAAAATAGGAAATCTGCTTTTTCAATACAGTACAATGTTTATTGTGTATTAGAATGAGGGTTCAAAGCACAAAGTCCACTCAGCCTCTGTTTATCTGGTGTGGACAGTAGATCTTCCTCTCTCTTTGTGTCCTGGCAGCCTGGGAACTATCAGCGCACTGTGAAGCGAACAGAAGATGCGTTCCAGGCCTGTAATGACATTGTGGCATGTTTCCAAGAGAGAGCTCGGGTGGAGAGACTGTATGCCCAGCAGCTCAGTGAATGGAGCAACAAGTGGAAGCCAGTAGTGGACTCCAGTAAGTACAGTCAGTGCCACGCCAGCTTATTTCATCTGCAGCACGATGGACATGTAAATACTGATCATAAAAGACCACAAGAGATGTTGTTGTGCAACTTTTTATTTGATTTACATCTAAATTCGGGGTTCCTCATCAGAATTATGACTAAAACTAAAACATTTTTTTCCCCCTGGCCGTCCTCCTCCTCCCTCAGGTCCTCTATATGGATCCCTTATGAAGGCCTGGCAGTGTTTCTTGTCCTCCGCTGACCGGCTAGCATCCCTACATGCCTCCATCTGTCGCTCCCTGGTGTCGGAGGACGGAGACCAGGTCCGTACCTGGCAGAAGGACACCTTCCACAAGAAGTTATTCGGAGGCTTTAAGGAGTCTCAGGACATTGAGACGGGATTTGCACGTGCACAGAAGCCGTGGGCCAAGCGACTTAAAAAGGTCAGCCTCTAGTTTTCTACTCAGAAACATTTCCTTCAAATGATAGTTTGTTGAAGTTTACTGAGGATTAAACTGGATGCACTCAAGATGGCTCAAGTGTTGCTCTTTTGCATTCAGAAGCAACAAGCCACTTGAATCTGTGCCTCACTGTGATTCTAGAGCAGCGAAGGACAAGGACATCCATCAAACACAGAATTAAATATCTGCATCAAAAACATACACAAGCATCTCAGGAGATCAATACTTGAAGAAACTACGAACAATGACTTTGAAATCACAAATGGCTACTCATCAAGTAATGGCCTCACTTCAAGGTCTATATTTGGACCACAGGGACTTAATGCATCGCAATTTAGGAATGAGTTTATTCTGGGTATCAGTAAGATGCGTTTCAAAGGCAGCTGCATCTCCATTTTCAAAATTCAATTTAGGTTGAAATGCTTCGGAGTGGAGGGTTTTCAGGGACCAAGCAGTCAAAGAAAAACAGGAGCACAGGATTACTTTTCAAAAGATGTGATTTATTTCAAGGACAACAACCAAAAAAACTAAATATGAATAAGAATAAAAGGCATTAAAAAAGAAAGGTGAACCAAACAGAACTCTACTACTACAATACAGCTACCAAAGCAGTACATTAACACAGATGGAGACATTTAAACTGGCTGATCTAACCTTTTGGAAACGATAGGGGAAACAAAATAGACAACAGCTGAAACTTCAGACAAAGAAGCCCCATTTCCCCCCATGTTGATGCAGCACTTGGTCTGGTCCATTTACTGGGCCTCTATTTAACCAGGCTCCACCCTCTGCCACATCTTTTAGCCAAACCAGGAAAAAGGATTTGGGGCCTTGTCACACATATGCCAGTATGGAGCTGCAGATTGCTTTACCCCCTCGCTTGCACGCAATGTGAGCAGAAGGAATCGCTGCAGCAATGTTGGTGCATGTGTGATGGTGCCCTGATGCAGCTGACAAGGTAACACAAAGACAAAGAAACATATATTTATACAACTATTGAGGAAAACCTGCGTAAACTAAATGTGTGCATCTCATTTACAATACAACGCTGTGTCAAATAAACAAGAATAAAAACAAAAAGACTGGTTGTGTTTGTTAACTAATGTGACTGCAAAGAAAATAACAAAACCTGTGATGATGTGCATGTGGAACCTTAATTGAATCCATGTGATGTGTTTATTTTACCACTGATTTTGATTGTTTGGTGGAAACTGTCTTCACAAGCTGATGGTGTTTTATAAAGTGCTTCCTTTGCAAAATGCTGGTCCAGAATTCTCCTATTATAGCCATCACTGTGTACATTTACATGTATTCTTTGGTTGATCCACAGCTGGACAAAGCCAGGAGGGCATACCACAAGGTGAGCCGTAAGGAGCAGATAGCCAGAGAGCGAGAGGCACACGCTCAGGGGAACCCGGATGTTGCCATCGACAAGCAGAAGAAGATCCAGGTGGAGCGAGAGCTGGCTCAGCAGGATGCTGATAAGGTAGGAAATACACGTGTGGTTTTGATTTTTGACTGAAACAGTGGATTGGCTAAAATCCATTTCACTGGCCTCATTGGAAATTGTCATTGATTGGGGAGTACTGTGATTAAGCTGCATTTTTGTGTGTGGTTCTTTAATTTGTTTATCCTGTGCAAATACTTTTCCTGTGTTGGTGGCGCCAATATGAACTACAGAATAACAGCACTGCTAACTAGCACACATCTGTGAACCATGCAGGTTTCTATAACACGTTTTGAGTGTCTTTAGTCTAAAAGTAATTAAGTGTTGTAGTTTTTTGTGTTGAGTATTGTATTCATGTCTGATTGAAGTGAAGAGAACATGGGACCACACTGAGAACTATGCATCTAAATAAAAACTTTGTGAAAACTGTGTAGTTTCATTTTGTTCCGGCTATGACATATACTTATATTATTAGGTCCACCTCTGCTGTCTAATGCTGTTGTATAATAAAGTCTATTTTTATGTCTACAATGCAAAAAAAAAAGAACTGTGCATGGCCTCAAAAGATGACTTGTATAAATAATGGTTATATGGTTTTTATAAAGGTTATGGCAGAGCTGTATTGCACTGTTGTGTCTAATAAAGTTGCAACTGAGTCCAAAGCTTTTTAAACTTTAATTTTCAGTCTAGTCTTATGTGAACCCTCAGAGTTGGGGTTTGGATCTACTGGTAACCTCTGTGAGAGTGTTAATGTCAGTCCATGTGAGCTGTGAGTGGAAACGTGACCGTTTGATGTTAATGTTTACAGGTTCGCGTACGCTATGAGAAAGTCCTGGAGGAGGTGAACCGCTATGCCCCTCGCTACATGGAGGAGATGGAATCCATCTTCGACCAGTCGCAGGACGAGGAGCGGAAGAGAATTGTCTTTCTCAAACAGGCCTTCCTCTCCATCCACAAACATCTGGATATCACCACCAACGAGAGGTGAGCCACAGTGTTCAGTCTGCTGATGAGATGATCAATGTGTGTGCTTAAACAGGTAGAACTGATTTGTTTTAATCTGATGCTATCCTTGGCTGTGTATTTAAAGCTGGTGTTATCCTTGGCTGTGTATTTAAAGCTAAATGGGTTAAAAATCTATAATTTCACTCCATTTAACCGTAATGAAAAGCCGTTCTACTACAGATTAGCACGAGTCTCACTGACTCACTTTTACTCTAATAAAGAAAACAATAGCCAAGACAACTTCATTAGTTTATATAATCTGCAGGAAACACGAGGGATGATTGTTGGATGAGAGACATAATGTATATTCTATATCTGCTTAATTTTTAGGTAACATTCAATACACACTCAAAATGCTCCAGATGGTAGCAATTGAATAAGTTTTATTACACTGTTCAAAGAAACAGTTAGTTAGTCCATACCTTTACATCAAACATTCTTGCTCATAGTTTTCAATATATTATGTCCACTGTGATGCATTGTAATCCTTTTAGTCAGGCTTTTAACTGGATTTTATTTATTTTTCAGTTTTATTGAAGTTTAGTTTTTATTTTTCCTCTGCGGTGGTGACAGCCAGTGGCCGGATGCATTATGTTTATCATTTAATTGAATGTATGGACTAAGGCAGTGGTGTCAAACTCAATCACATAGGGCCAAAATTAAAAACTGGGACTACGTCGCGGGCCAAACAGGGTCAACATTTATTAAACGGGATATTGGATGAAGTGCAAAAAGAAAACCTATTTAGGTGGGCTACATCCTTTAATCATTTTTTTTAGCCAGTTCATTAAAGTTTGGGTTTAGGGTTCTGTGCTGTGGAAACCCTCCAAGAGTTGGACATGTCTGGACAAAGGGATGACCTGCTGTAGAATTTGGTGGTCAAAGGTCAAGGCCACTGTCACAATACCTCAAGAGAATCTATTTCAAATTTGGCACAAATGTTCACTCTGACTTATGGTTAACTGTTTAAATTTGGGTGGTTGACGGTCACAGTGGCACGATATCTCAAGTCTGCCTTTAGGAAATGTCTTCATATTTTGACCAGTTGTCACTTGGATTCAAAGATTCACTGGTTAGTTTTCAGAGATCAAAGGTCAAAGTGACCTCATGAGTCTGGACACAAAATGTCACTCAACTGAAACGGCACTGATCAGTGGTGGCATACCACTGCACACGGTGGTGATTCTACTTCTCTCCACTGTTGAAAAGTATTTGCTCTTTGGAAACTTTTTTTTTCTCTACATAGTTGAGAACTTACAATATGACAAAGTGCCTTGAGATGATGCAAGTTGTGATATCCAAATAAAAAATTGAATTGCATTAAAAATGAAAGAAAAAATGTGAAGCAGGTGTTAAAACATATGAGAAATTGATTCTGTCTTAAACACTAAATGCTGAATCAAATCTTAGTCTGAGTTCTTTTATGTGTTTAGTGTGAAAGACGTGTACAACGAGCTCCACAACAAACTGTTGGCCATCGATGACCAAGATGACCTTCGCTGGTGGAAAAACACCCACGGGCCTGGCATGCCCACCGACTGGCCTCACTTCCAGGTTCTTAGTGTTTGTTTTTCTTCACCATTTTTTTTATAACGCATGTTTATATGACGCTTAATTCTTCACTGTATGTTTATTCAAGTGCAGTTAAACATGAGTCAGTTTTTTATTTCAACGACTTTCAGGAATGGACACCTGCAAAGAAATCCAAGAAAGGAAAGAAAGATGTAGAAAAGAAAGGAACAATAGAAAAGAGGTGAGACTGATCTTTAGAGTTAACCCAAAGCAAGTTGTTATGATTCTGTGTTCAGTGTTGGATTTTGTGTAGCTGTTTTTTGTTGATCAAATGTTTATCTCATCTCTTTGTCACTTTCTTCCTCCAGTGTGATGATTGGAGGAGTGAGAGTCAGAGCTCTGTATGACTATGTTGGACAAGAAACAGATGAGCTGTCCTTTAAAGCAGGTAAACACAACTTCATCAATAATGTGTATGTACAGATCTGAAACAATATGCAACAGCACTGTGTATACTGTATGAAATGACTGTCATTTAGAATAAACTTTAAAATTAAATATATATATATAAAAATGTGTAATTATTGTCTCGTTTCCTAAGCTTGATGAGTTGACTAGTACAGTTTAACCTGCAACTCTTTTATTTAAATTCATTGGCTGTTTAGTTTTTAAAGAAGTGCCACAACATTCATAAATGGAAATATTTTCTGGTTTTGTCACTGATCACATTAACATGAACACCACTATTCTGTTTAGCACATTAATGTAACTTTATTGACATTAATGTCTTCTTCATAATCCGACCAACAGTCAGATTATTGGTGTCCATGTCAACATAGTCATTGATAATGGATTAAATATCTTTGAGTTTTTGGTTAGTTTTGTACTGTTGCTCATGTAAAAGACATTTTGTTGTGTATAATTGTATAGACCAAAAACAAGTTATCATTTGATTGATACTATTTAGCTCTTTCTTACAAAGGAAAACAATTTGTTTCAACCTTGATTAAAAAATAAATAAATAAATAAATAAAATATATATATATATAAAAAATATGAGCTTCAATTATGAGAGAAATGAAAGGTTTGTTTCTCTTCACTACAGGGGAGGAGTTTTTGAAGATCGAGGATGAGGATGATCAAGGCTGGTGTCGGGGGATGAAGGACGACGGGGGGGAAGGGCTTTACCCCGCTAACTACGTGGAGGTGGTAGTGTAGCTATGACGTGTCGTCTGAGAACGAAAGGTCTTATTAGGTCAGGTGCTTCATGTCACTGTGGAAGTCGCAGCCTGGTTAAAGAACACTGAGCAGCTGTTAGCCAAAGATGTGGTCTGTGACAACAGGGTGGTGGATATTTTAGCATGTCGAGGTTTTTAATGTGTAATCTCTTGAAGGATTTTGACAAATGTGTTAATATATACAGTGTGCATACACCACTTGTATTGAAGCCATATGATAAGCAATGCTTTAATGTAGAAAAAGATAAATATGCTGGAGTCTAAAGGTACTATATATATCTAACCATCTGGTGCTGAAATTGCATTACAGGACTGCAATTGTATTTGAGCTCTTCCGTTTATTTGCACCTCAACACATTGCTATTAAAGGGCTCACAAAGCCTCGCGACATATGAAGTGATGCTAATACTGTGATTTATAATGAATCTGGAGCAGCTGTTCGAGTGGAGTCAGCTTGATGGAGGCAGTCAGCTGTGAGACCTGTTTCCGTGTTTTAAAGGAACAGGCTGAAGTGTTGAGGAAGGTGCTTATTTGTTGTTTTGCCCTAAATTGAGACATTTTCAGACATGAACTCTGGAGCATGTCTGCACAATTTCATCTGGACTTTCTTCAGTTTTCCTTTCACATAAGTCACCTGGATATTGTCTGTTCAGACGCATCCACAACAACACTCTTTAGAGTGTTCAGGTGTGGGGTGGTGCAGCAGGCCAGAGACAGGACGTACTAATTCCACTGCAGAGATGGTGTGTGTTTGTCTACATCACGTCGACACCAGCTTCTGCTCTTTTCACCAAAGCTTTTCTGACATCTTGGTCTGTGTCTTCTACCTGTGTGGCACCACTTTTTTATCCTGAGATTTATTCCGGTTTTTACATTTTTGCGTCGGCCTTAAGCTCACTTGTGGTGAATCCTCTGGAGGATCCTCTGTGTTCTCACATTGGCTCATTCAGACATTTTAAAGAATTCTTACTCAGGGCTGGAGATTTATATACAGTCTATGGGAGAAACTCTGGAGAAAGTCCAAATTCTCTTACTTGGAAAATTGCGTTCACATACAGCCCTGTCAGATTCTTTGTAGTTCAGTGCATGTCTGAAAACAGCTATAGATAAAAAATTTTTTTAAAAAAATCCAAAAAAGCATGTTCATTTCATCCAAAGTACAGAGAAAAACTGCAGTCTTGTGTAACAGCATCAACACATTCCAGGAACTCTTTCTTAGTTTATAGTTATAATCAACATTTTACTCATGTTATATTACTTTCACAATTCATCATTGAATACTTTTATGTTGAAAGGGGGAAGGAGCCCTATCCTTGTTGCAAACCCAAAGAATTATCACCCACCTCCGCAGCTCCTTTCAGCTCTGTGGAGCTTTAATGGATGCTTTGGTTTCATGTCTTGAGGCTATTGTTTTGGTTCGCTCCCACTGCTCTTGTGACCTCGATTTCATCTACAGCAGTCAGCCGATTTCATCAAGAAAGCTATAAAAATGCCCCTGTACACTATATCCTCAGCAACAAAAAGCAGACTGGCACAGTTAGCAACTAGCTGGTGAACAAAATTATTTGATTTCTGTGTAGAGGAAGGAAGTGGAGAGACATTGTCCATCTTAATATAAAGTACAAGCTTCAAATCCCCCCCCAAAAAACATATATCGGTGCTAAAAAATGAAGAGATTTGTAGACTAAATGCTCTAAACATGTCACTTAAGTATTCTCTGTCCAGAATATTTACAGATGAAACTGGTCACTCTTCTTCAGCAGACACCAAACATTCATATGTCAGACTGTTCCTTTAAGATACATAACAACAAATAGTTTTCCTGTCTGTGTGAAATATCTAATCATACATTGCTTTACCAAAAAAAAAATCTAGGTTTGCCTTGCCCTTGTCCTTAAAGCCTTCTTCTGTATCCTTGTATGTGCTGTGCCTGTCATGTATATTCCCCAAGAACACTATCTTTTTTGCAAACTTGTTTTGGAAATAAAATTTTCAAATGTTACACAAGCAGAAGCAGTGTTTTTGAACCTGTAGCGGAAAGAATGAAAGTATGTGTGTTTGTGTGAATGAGACAAAGGGGGAGTTGTTGAATCATCATGCCATCATCGTCTGTCCAGTCCTAGAGTCCTGCCTGTGGATGTTATTGCACAGAGCTGTCAGCTGACACACAGTCACTTTTAAGCCTTGTCTCTGTCAAGGGAACTGTGTCCAGGTCAAATGCTGCTCTTTATTTCAATGATGCCACCACAGAGTCATATGCAGCCTGGTATCAACACATGGCCATCAGCCAAGCACAATGCCCTACACCAGTGTGTGAGGGCAATGAGAAATCTCTTGTATATTCACATTCTACTCTGCGCAGCCAGGCACCTTTTTGTCGTAAATACAAACTGACAGGGGCATGTAGGAATATCTGTTTCCACAGCAGCAATGGAAATGATGATGTCACCTTAGAAGGAATTTTCTCACCTGATGACAGTTTCCTTGCTTGCAGCAGATGGAGACTTATCTGTAATCACAAAGACACATACAGCTGAGCTCTAGTGCCGTGCAGTTTCTAAAAAAAAAAAAAAAAAAATACAGGAAAGCCTTCACAAGATTGAGAACAAGGATTACATCATGTGATTTAATCTATTTTATCAAGCATTTTGATGCAAAAAATCGTATCTATGGCCACTAGGGTTAGGTATTTAAACCTGTCTGGGTCTCAGGTGAACAGGGAGTGTGCCGTGTATTTTCCATAGCTTCTCCACTAAAACCTGAATCTACAGCAAAGTTGTTTTCCAAACAGTTGAACGAAGAACTAAAACTCGGCATAAAGGTTGACAACTTTGACTTGTCACAGTGTCCTCAATAGTTTTTTTATTATTCTGATGGTATTGTATGTTGATTATAATGTATTTCTTTATAACCTGTACTATACAACGAAGTGTGAAAATAAAAAGTTGTTGAGAATTGGATTTGTTCTATTTGTACTGCCACATTAATTTATATTGTGTCAAAGACTTCAGAGTTTTAATAACAGAGAATTATGCTTTCAAGTTGAGTATGTTTGCCCAGCTGTAAAAGATAAATAAAATAGCAGTATCCTTTCAAGTCCTTTTTCTTATATCTTCTCAGCAAAAGTATTTATTCATTTGTAAATGATATACTGTCATATTCCCTTATTTATTTTAAAATTTTTATCAAAACCTGCAGTAATTAGTGTCAATGGAAAGTATGACCACATCAATACTTTTCTACACACTGTTTAAGTGTGGTGAAAAGAAAAATCTAATTGAAGCAATAAATTGATTGATTATGCAATAGTTACTGTTTACATGAACCGTTTTTTGATCTGCACAACTCAATATAATGAGCAAATTAACCTGACATACTGTCAACAGACTTTAATTTGTCAAATAAAATAAAAATAAATAAAAACTTTGGGGAAATTGACAATATTTCAGTTGCTGTCAACTTTTTGTCAGTTTATCAACTATAAGAGAAGAACAGACGCCACATCCCCTCAAGATCATTTGACTTTAATATACACTGAGTGAAAGTGGCTCACTGTGAGAAATGCAGAGGCAGATTCACCCACGACAATCCATCAAACAGACTCTTACCGATGAATAAAGCCCTCATGACACCTTAAACTGCACTTTAGAGGGAGAAGTGGCACAAAGGCCACAGGCGGCGGTCGACTGGCAAGTGGGGAAAAAGTCACTTTGTCAAGAGTCATCCCTCATCCTGTTTTCAACAAGCAGACGAGTACGTTTATGGGGAATGACGAACCGAGTCCACGACCTGAGTGCTTGTTTCCCACAATGAAGTGTTCTGCCAGGTCTGTTAAGGTGTAGACTGTATTATGTCTTGGCTCTGGTCCACAGAACCCTTTAAAGAAAAAGATTATTACCAGGAAATATGCTGCCATCCAGAGCCATCACTCTTAGTGTTTGGAAGTTGAGCCTTGCAGAACAAAACTGACCCTTGTTCTTACTTTACAAAAATAAAAAAAACAATGCAAATAATGCAACATAAGGAACAAATCATTTATAGTGGGGTTTTGCTGATAAACACGCTCGATCAGTCTCAGCTGTCAATGACGTTCTACCCTGTTCTTATAGCATCAAATTACTTAAAATAAATAATATGAAGTATAGCCTGTACATTAACATGGACGTCTCCACTTCCTTCCACTCTACAGAAATTAAGCTAAGATATCCCGAACACAAACGCTGCCAGAGCCTGTGCAGTAGGGTTTGGGGGATGGAACTGCAGTAAAGAGATTCCGTAAGTAGACCAATCACGAGTCAGTTTCAGCTGTCAATCATGATGTTCCACCTCATTCTTATATCATCAAATAACTAATAAAAACCTAACTAATCAGAAACTCAAACTGAACAAACATCAATGAGATAAGAACTACCTAAAATAACAGAAACCATCTTTGAGAAAAATCTATTTAACTTGTGATTCATGTGGTCCATGTCCTATTTGCTAACATGGAGAAGGTGGGATTTATGACCTAAACTGCAGCCAACCACCAGGGGGCAATCAAGTTGCTTTGGCTTCACTTTTGGGGAGCCTTCATGTTGTCCATTTTTATTGGCAATCCCTCACCAAACTTAGTGCAAAGTACACACACACACACATTATGTAATGACTGGACACAGCTCGTTTGCATGTTAATGATCTCACGATAGTCACTTTGATGCCTCTGACCTCAGTGAGGTCAACATCTGGACACTCACCCTCAGACTATGCTCATGTTGCTCCATCATCCGCCGCTGCGTTGCTGAGGTCATGTTGACATCTTCTGCATCCTGATGCTGAGGGCGACGAGCTCCGTGGCATTGTCCTCCAGCAGGGGGAGCTAAAAGATCATCAGCGCAGCCCTTGGCGGGCCTGTGGAGGAGAAATACATTTGTGCACACTGGGGTGACAGCGTAACGGGAAAACGTCTTTATTCCCTCATCTCTCATGTGGTGACAGGCAGAACTTTAGGTTGCCATGGAGAGCGCTGCTGAGCAGGGCCATAATTAACAGAGCCACAGAACTCGGTTCAATGACTCATTACGTTTGGAGAAGTTAATGAGGAAATCACATAGCTCCTCGAAGGCAAATTACTCCGTGTGTGTATAGTGTGTTACATATGATGAATGTTTGAAGTAACATCATGAGGCGAATATTACAGCACACTGCTGCAGCCGCTTCTGCAGAGCTAATGATGAGCATGTGATCTGCCCCCGTGCAGTTGGGTCGAGAACTGGATGTGTATGTGTGAGTGTATATGAGTCTATATAGATGTGTGTTTGCATGCTTGTTTGAGAGCATCGCTATGTGTGTGTTTGAGTGTGTTCTGGGGATGACTCACCTCCTTGTCAGGGAGACACAAAACATATGAACATTTTCTCAGGCTGTCACACACACAAACACTCCCCCAGCTCCTTCCTCCAGATGTGCTTTAATGTTTCCTACTTTCTCCTTAAAATACTCTCTCTCCCTTTTTCGTTATTTCTCCCTCTCGTTCCCCCTTACTCCCCATAAGGTGCCCCAGGGAAGCTCCTGTCACGGCTAAGGGCCACCAGGGGGCCTGCTCGGGGGTTTACAGAGTAAGCAAGAACATAGGCGAAGCTACCCAACCACCTGTAGACCTGCCAAGAGCACTTAAGCACAAACTGTCTCGTACCATTTGTCTCAAGGACATCTGGAAAATCCCACTTGACTCTCTTGCTTAAACAACACTAACGCCACCGGTGGGGGGGGGGGTGTGGAGGTGAAGCTGCAGCTAGAATGCCAAAGGTGCAGGGAGTAAGAAGAGCAGAGCAGGGCAGGGCAGGGCGAGCAGGGAGACTTTAGGCCCTGGCCTGCAGGGGCCACATTCATCTGCAGGAGACAGCAGGGTAATCTGAGGAGAGAGGTGAGTCCGCCTCTCTTGGCGTCTGCATGTGTAGGATGCTTTTCATCTCAAACTGCCCAAAAATAATGAGCAATCAAGAAAATGGTTATTCTCGCATTTCAATTAGCCTAATTAAAGAGAGGGCAGCGGACTACTCTGCAAGCAGTACAATACAGTATATTTTTATAGGTGTGTGTGTGTGTGTGAGAGAGAGAGAGAGAGA